ATGCAGGCGAAACGTCAGGAGAGAATGCCTCTAGAACATGGCCATATAGCCCGAAAAAACCTACAACCCAGAGAAGGAAAAAGTTCAGCTTGTCTTCTACTGAGACTCTTAGATACTCTTTTCATATTCCGATGGTGTCTTCCTTTCTGGCAGAAAGGGGTTGGACTGGATGGCCTTTGGAGTCCCTTCAGGTATCACCCATTCTATACCTATTTCATTTTTAAACTCTTCCTGATGCAGCCTAGAATGGCATTGGCCTTTTGCGCTGCCGCATCACACTCTTGGCCTCACGTTCTGCTTGGGGCCTCACGTTCTGCTTGGAGCCCCTTCTTCTCACCCACCTGGACGTAGATGTCGATCTGGGAGCGAGGGTAGAGCTGGGTGAGGATGGCGGCCTCGAAGGTCTGCTTGAGGTGGAGGCTCATCTCGGAGGTCTGCCGGTCACCGTGGGGCCGCCGCTTGCGCTCCCCGGTGCTGAAGGTGGCCAGGCTGAACTGGCAGTTGACCACCGCCTGGTCGTGCAGCGCCTTGGACCGCGAGCCCCTCGTCTGCAAGAAAGAGGAAGGAGACGGGGGTAGTCCAGGGGCCTCTGGGGGTCATCTAGCCTGCCCTCCTCGCCCTGGAAATACCTCCCACCCTTGTTTCCACAATAAACTAAATGTTTCAAAATCCCATTCTCACAGGAACTGAAAGTATCATTTGAACGGGCGCAGAGGGAGCAAAGGAACCACCACAGGGGTGTACACCCTTCCTATGCATTCCAGAGCTTGTGTGTGTGTGCGTGTGTGCGCGTTGGAGTTCAGCCTGTGATTGTGTCTAATGATCAGGGTACTCTGGATGTTGGGAATGACAATGATGTTGCTAATGTTTACCTCTCCGAACGTATTCTCCCCTATGAACCATCAAGGTTATTAAGATCGTCTGGAGAGGCCCTGCTCTCGGTCCCACCGGCCTCACAAGCGCGTCTGGTGGGGACGAAGGACAGGGCCTTCTTGGTGGTGGCCCCGCAACTCTGGAACTCTCTCCCACCGGAGATCAGAACCGCCCCTTCTATCCTGACTTTTAGGAAACGGGTGAAGATGTGGTTATGGAGACAGGCTTTTGATGAGTGAGACAACACCCTAAGACATGGATGGAAGATGATGTATAATTGTTTTTTAGTATGACGACTGACCACTGTAGTTTTGGATATATTTGTTGTTTTAATGTGTTATTGTAATATGAACTATGATGTTTTTACCGATTGTATGTGTTTTTTATGGTTGGAAACAGGTCTGAGTCCCTCAAAAGAGGTGAGAAGGTCGGTATATACCTTGGGAAGTCTGACTTGGCCACGGTGGTACACGCTCTGGTCACATCCCGCCTTGACTACTGCAACGCTCTCTACGTGGGGCTGCCCTTGAAGACGGCCCGGAAGCTTCAGCTAGTCCAGCGCGCGGCAGCCATGTTACTAACCGGAGCGGGACGCAGGGAGCACACAACGCCCTTGCTGTTCCAGCTCCACTGGCTGCCGATTTGCTACCGGGCCCAATTTAAGGTGCTGGTGTTATCCTACAAAGCCCTAAACGGTTCCGGCCCAAAATACCTTTCGGACTGCATCTCGGCCTATGAGCCCACGAGGACCTTGAGATCATCTGGGGAGGCCCTTCTCTCGATCCCGCCTGCTTCACAGGCACGCCTGGCGGGGACGAGAGAGAGGGCCTTCTCGGTGGTGGCCCCCCGGCTGTGGAACGACCTTCCTGTTGACATTAGACAGGCGCCCTCCCTTCTATCCTTCCGCAGGAGCCTAAAGACCTGGCTATTCGAGAAGGCCTTCAACTGAATACTACGGCAATTGGTAACTGACACCTGGAACGGAATATGGTCTATGATAATGGATATGATTCTACGATATGACGGAGCGGATTATTTAGTGTAACGTACAGTATTGTGTATTATTGTTGTGTGATTTTGCTTGTTCTGCTTTTGTAAACTGTGTTTTTATATGTTGTTCACCGCCGCGAGTCGCCCTAGGGCTGAGAGCGGCGGTCAATAAATGCACCAAATAAATAAATAAATAAATAAATAAATAAATAAATAAATAATAAAACTCTGAAATAATAAATAAATAATAATAATGTTGAGGTTGCCCTAGATGCGGAGAATGACAATGGGAGAGAATGCCTCTAGAACATGGACATACAGCCCGAAAAAACCTACAACAACCCAATGGGATTCCTGTTCAAAGTGTCTTTTCTGATGAGAGTGTTCCTGAAGGGTTTGGGGATGATGGTATGGTCCCTGGAAGAGGGCCTGAATTGCTACCAGAGAATTCCCAGGATTTTGAGCCTGAGAAAAGCTCAGCACCTGGGCCAGCTGCAGAAATTAATGAGCCAGTATAGATAGGAGAAATAGTTTCAGTCAGCACAGGCAAACAAACCAGGCTCTCAGACGCTCTGCCAGACTGAGAGAGAGATTGATAACAGAGTCAAGGCTGAAACGAAATCCGTTCCTGGCCGCTTGGGACAATGAGTAGATTAGGGGATAAAAGTGTCAAGTACAGAATCTATAGTCAGATGAAGCAATGTTTGAATTGAGTCAAGACGTCTTTCCTGGTCCTTGGAAGCCTTTCCTTGGATAAATCATGTGTTTTTTATGTAAATTTTAATAGAATGCTTTGCTGGTTCTACAGATAAAATATAGGTGATGGGGAGGGGAAGGAATAGGGAAGGAGTGGTGACTTATCTGCATGGGGGGGAGTTACACACATGAGAGAAAGTGAGGTTATGGGAAGGGAAGGAAAATATCTTGACTTCCCATTCTAATTCTCCACGTGTTCCAAGAAATAAATTGGTGAAGTGGAAGTAGAACTCTCAGTTCCTTTCTATATCATCAACTTCTCTCCTGCTCGTTGTCAAATTTACTGTTTTCTTCTTCAGTCTTAAGGTTTTTCTTCTTAGGTTTCCCTTATAATCCTCTCTTAATGTTCAATCAGGTAAGGTAAGGCCAGCGAAATAAGAGACATGGATAAGCTGACCTTCTATCTTACAAAATCAAGAGGAAGACCAATAAAGAAAACAGATTGGAAACCATTTGACAAATATCTGATCGATAGATTCATGTGTTAAGTGCCTTGTTTGATTTCACGATTCAAGTTTTGGAGTTTTACCTTGGAAGTTTCTGCATTTGTTTTTCATGAACTCTCATGGACTAATTTCCTGAACTATTTGTTTCTGCCTATCTTTTTACCTAATTGGATTTACCTATTTTTATGGAGTGTTTTTTTTATTGCTACTGCTTTTTAATTATCTTCAATAAACTGCTTGCATTTTTACTCAGTTGTGTGGTGTTACAAGTCAGAGGGCTTTCCTGGAGTGCAACAGTGTGTGTGTGTGTGTGTTTGCCTGGAGTTATACAACACCGCCTGAGCTCTGCAAGTGCAGCATTTTCCAGAATGAAGCAGAGAGTGTTTGAGGACCGGGACATCCGTAGGGAGACCAAGGTGCTTGTTTATAAAGCTATTGTCCTCCCAACCCTGCTATATGCCTGCGAAACAGTGGACTGTCTACAGACGTCAACATTGACACTGAAATACAACACTGCCTGAGCTCTGCGAGAGCAGCATTTTTCCGAATGAAGAAGAGAGTGTTTGAGGACTGGGACATCCGTAGGGATACCAAGGTGCTTGTTTATAAAGCTATTGTCCTCCCAACCCTGCTATATGCTGCAAGATATGGACTGTCTACAGACGTCAACATTGACACTGAAATACAACACCGCCTGAGCTCTGCGAGTGCAGCATTTTTCCAAATGAAGCAGAGAGTGTTTGAGGACCGGGACATCCGTAGGGAGACCAAGGGGCTTGTTTATAAAGCTATTGTCCTCCCAACCCTGCTATATAGCTGCGAAACAGGGACTGTCTACAGACGTCAACATTGACACTGAAATACAACACTGCCTGAGCTCTGCGAAAGCAGCATTTTTCTGAATGAAGCAGAAAGTGTTTGAGGAGCGGGACATCCGTAGGGAGACCAAGGTGCTTGGCTATAAAGCTATTGTCCTCCCAACCCTGCTATATGCCTGTGAGACGTGGACTGTCTACAGACGTCACATGCAGCTCCTGGAACGTTTCCATCAGCGCTGCCTCCGGAAAATCCTACAAATCTCCTGGGAAGACAAGCGGACAAACGTCAGTGTGCTGGAAGAAGCAAAGACCACCAGCATTGAAGCGATGGTCCTCCAACATCAACTCCGCTGGGCCGGCCACGTTGTCAGGATGCCTGACCACCGTCTCCCAAAGCAGTTGCTCTACTCCGAACTTAAGAACGGAAAACGGAAACGTTGGTGGACAGGAAAAGAGATTTAAAGATGGGCTCAAAGCCAACCTTAAAAACTCTGGCATAGACACTGAGAACTGGGAAGCCCTGGCCCTTGAGCGCTCCAGCTGGAGGACAGCTGTGACCAGCAGTGCTGCAGAATTTGAGGAGGCACGAGTGGAGGGTGAAAGAGAGAAACGTGCCAGGAGGAAGGCGCGTCAAGCCAACCCCGACCGGGACCGCCTTCCACCTGGAAACCAATGCCCTCACTGCGGAAGAAGATGCAGAGCAAGAATAGGGCTCCACAGTCACATACGGACCCACAGGGAAACCCATAATGGAAGACCATCTTACTCGTCCAACGAGGGATTGCCTAAGTAAGTAAGTAAGTAAGTAAGTAAGTAAGTAAGGAGTTATGCGTAAAAATGTCCCTGTTCCAACTTACATACAAACTCAACTTTAGAACAAACTTAGTTTGTAACTTGGGGACTGCCTTTCCTTGACACTCCCAGTTAACTCATGCCTCTCCCCAAGGATAGGCTGATGCCGCATAAATGTCATTTCTGGTTGCTTGAGAGTTGCCTAACTCACACTACAGCCCAATGCGGTATCATACCATAAACTCTGTATGGACTTGATGGTTAACACTGGAATACAGGGATTAGAAGGCCATTAAGACAACCTTCATGGAACACAGCTTTATGGTTTAATCATATTAAAAAAAAGGACATTTGCTTAAGAGATCTGGTTAACGGAGAGTCTCCTGTAATAATAAGAGGAAGGGGGCCCCAGGGGCTATGTAGCCCACCCTCCTCCCCTAGGAAATGAAAGCAATAATCATAATAGGAATGGGAGGGGTACTGCAAGGGCCATGAAGTCCACACACACCCTGGAAATAATAGTATATTAAATAATAATAATAATAATAATAATAATAATAATAATAATACTGTGTGATGTATTGCTGATACAATACACAGTCCTAGACACTTGGGAAGCCGGCACAGTGATCTTGTTTGCTGTGAGCTAATCTTGTTGTGTGAATAATAATAATAATAATAATAATAATAATAATAATAATAATAGTGGTAGTAGCAGAAAGGAGAAAAGCACTGCAGGGGGCATGTAGTCCACCCTTGGAAATGAATAGGAAAAGGAGGAAGATACTCCAGGGGCCATCTAGTCCACACAGACACTGGAAATAATAATAATAGAATAAGATCATCCGGAGTTTCGGGGTGCGGTGTCATCTGTACGCGGATGATGTCCAACTCTGTCACTCCTTTTCACCTGCTACTAAGGAGGCTGTCGAGGTCCTGAACCGGTGCTTGGCCGCTGTGACGGTCTGGATGGGGGCGAACAAATTGAAATTGAATCCAGACAAGACAGAGGTACTCCTGGTCAGTCGCAAGGCCGAACAGGGCATAGGGTTACAGCCTGTGTTGGATGGGGCCGCACTCCCCTGAAGACGCAGGTTCGCAGCTTGGGTGTGACCCTGGACTCATCGCTGAGCCTGGAACCCCAGGTTTCGGCGGTGACCAGGGGAGCATTTGCACAGCTAAAACTTGTGCGCCAGCTGCGCCCGTACCTTGGGAAGGCTGACTTGGCCACGGTAGTCCACGCTTTGGTTACATCCCGTTTAGACTACTGCAACGCTCTCTACGTGGGGTTGCCTCTGAAGACTGCCCGGAAGCTGCAGCAAGTACAACGTGCGGCAGCCATGATACTAACAGGAGCGGGATGCAGGGAGCATACAACCCTCTTGTTGTACCAACTCCACTGGCTACCGATTTGCTACCGGGCTCAATTCAAAGTGCTGGCGTTGGCCTATAAAGCCCTAAACGGTTCCGGCCCAAGCTACCTATCCGACCGCATCTCTGCCTATGAACCCACCAGGACTTTGAGATCTTCCGGGGAGGCCCTGCTCTCGATCCCGCCTGCTTCTCAAGCTCGGCTGGCGGGGACGAGAGATAGGGCCTTCTCGGTGGTGGCTCCTCGGCTGTGGAACACCCTTCCTACGGACATTAGACTAGCACCATCTCTAATGGTATTCCGCAAAAAAGTGAAGACCTGGCTGTTTGTGCAGGCGTTTGAGTAATTTAGTGCAATCTGGTAATGGAATATAGGAATGGAACAATGGACGACGAACCTGGACTACGCTTGGATGATGAGAAGATTGGGTACGGTTGTTGTTTTTCGTAATAATTGTGCATTGTAATTGCTTATTGGTAATTTATGGATAATGTGTTAAGTCAATTGTTATATGTTGTATGGAACCACTGCTGTTTCTACTGTTTTTACTGTTTGTGAACCGCTGTGAGTCGCCTTCGGGCTTGAGATACAGCCGTATAGAAGCAAAGTAAATAAATAAATAATAATAATAATATATTACATCATATGTTAAATAATAGGGAGCCCCTGGTGGCGCAGTAGGTTGAACCACTGAGATGCTGAACTTGTTGACCGAAAGGTTGCAGGTTCGAATCTGGGGAGCGTGGTGAGCTCCCACTGTTAGCCCCAGCTTCTGCCAACCTAGCAGTTCGAAAACATGCAAATGTGAGGAGATCAATAGGTACCGCACCGCTCTGGTGGGAAGGTAACGGCGCTCCATTCAGTCCTGCCAGTGGCCACATGACCTTGGAGATGTCTACGGACAACGCCGGCTCTTCGGTTTAGAAATGGAGATGAGCACCAGAGTCGGACACACAACTAGACTTAATCTCAGGGGGAAACCATTACCTTACCTATATTAAATAATATAATTATATTATATCAACTATAATAATAATAATAATAATAATAATAATAATAATAATAATAATAATAAACAACTGGGTTGCTGTAGGTTTTTTTGGGCTATATGGCCATGTTCTAGAGGCATTCTCTCCGGACGTTTCGCCTGCATCTATGGCAAGCATCCTCAGAGGTAGTGAGGTCTGTTGGAACTAGGGAAAAGGGGTGTATATATCTGTGGAATGGCCGGGGTGGGGCAAAGGACTCTTGTCTGTTGGAGCTAGGTGTGAATGTTTAAGCTGACCACCTTGATTAGCATTTGATGGCCTGACAGTGCCTGGGGGAATCTTTTGTTGAGAGGTGATTAGATGTCATTGTCGAAGGCTTTCATGGCCGGAATCACTGGATTGTTGTAGGTTTCTTCGGGCGATAGGGCCATGTTCTAGAGGCATTCTCTCCTGACATTTCGCCTGCATCTATGGCAAGCATCCTCAGAGGTAGTGAGGTCTGTTGGAACTAGGGAAAAGGGTTTCTATATCTGTGGAATGACTGGGGTGGGACAAAGGACTCTTGTCTGTTGGAGCTAGGTGTGAATGTTTCAGCTGACCACCTTGATTAGCATATGATGGCCTGGCAGTGCCTGGGGGAATCTTTTGTTGAGAGGTGATTAGATATATAAACCCATATAAGCCCTCTCAGCATATGATGGCCTGGTTGTGCCTGGGGGAATCTTTTGTTGAGAGGTGATTAGATCTATAACCCCATCTAAGCCCTCTCAGCATATGATGGCCTGGCAGTGCCTGGGGGAATCTTTTGTGGAGAGGTGATTAGATCTATAAACCCATCTAAGCCCTCTCAGCATTTGATGGCCTGGCTGTGCCTGGGGGAATCTTTTGTGGAGAGGGGATTAGATCTATAACCCCATCTAAGCCCTCTCAGCATATGATGGCCTGGCAGTGCCTGGGGTAATCTTTTGTGGAGAGGGGATTAGATCTATAACCCCATCTAAGCCCTCTCAGCATATGATGGCCTGGCTGTGCCTGGGGGAATCTTTTGTGGAGAGGTGATTAGATCTATGAACCCATATAAGCCCTCTCAGCATTTGATGGCCTGGCTGTGCCTGGGGGAATCTTTTGTGGAGAGGTGATGATTAGATCTATGAGCCCACCCCCTGCCCTCCTACCTCGTGGGGCCCGTAGACGACGGCGAGGGCCTTGGTGTTTCCCTGCTCGAGGTAGGCGGACCCGTCTGCCTGGGCGAAGACTCCCATGCGGGCCCGCACCTGCCGCAGCTCCCCGGCTCGCCGCCCGTCCACACGGAAGCCCTGCGCAGAGAGCAGCTCCAAGCCCGCCATGATTTAGAGATGGAAGAAGAAGGGCGGGAACCAGGAAGGGTAGCCACGCCCACTCCCTGCTCCCCATCCAATAGGGAAGAAGGGGAGGGGACTGAAGCAAGAGCACAGAGAGGCGCCTGAATGGAGGGAGCAGCAAGGGGGCGGGGACTTAAGGATAACCACGCCCCTTCCCTGCTCCCCATCCAATAGGGAAGAAGAGGAGGGGCCTGAATGGAGGGAGTAGCAAGGGGGCGGGGCCGGAACGATAACCACGCCCCTTCTCTGCTCCCCATCCAATAGGGAAGAAGGGGAGGGGCCTGAAGCGAGAGCACAGAGAGGCGCCTGAATGGAGGGAGCAGCAAGGGGGCGGGGACTTAAGGATAACCACGCCCCTTCCCTGCTCCTCATCCAATAGGGAAGAAGGGGAGGGGCCTGAATGGATGGAGCAGCAAGGGGGCGGGGCCGGAACGATAACCACGCCCCTTCTCTGCTCCCCATCCAATAGGGAAGAAGAGGAGGGGCCTGAATGGATGGAGCAGCAAGGGGGCGGGGCCGGAACGATAACCACGCCCCTTCTCTGCTCCCCATCCAATAGGGAAGAAGAGGAGGGGCCTGAATGGAGGGAGTAGCAAGGGGGCGGGGCCGGAACGATAACCACGCCCCTTCTCTGCTCCCCATCCAATAGGGAAGAAGAGGAGGGGCCTGAATGGATGGAGCAGCAAGGGGGCGGGGCCGGAACGATAACCACGCCCCTTCTCTGCTCCCCATCCAATAGGGAAGAAGAGGAGGGGCCTGAATGGAGGGAGTAGCAAGGGGGCGGGGCCGGAACGATAACCACGCCCCTTCTCTGCTCCCCATCCAATAGGGAAGAAGAGGAGGGGCCTGAATGGATGGAGCAGCAAGGGGGCGGGGACTTAAGGATAACCACGCCCCTTCTCTGTGCCTGAGCCAATGAGAAGGAGGAGGAGTTTCCCAACAGAGGGAGACGCGGAATGGCGGGAGAAGCAAAGGGGCAGGGCCAGATAGACAGTCCCGCCCCCCACAGTACACCCCAACCAATGAGGAGGAAGGGGAGGAGCCAAGGCATGCAGTGGCGCGCCTGTAGCGAGAGGGGGCGCCATAGCGATGTTTCCTTCTCTGTAAACATTGCAACTTCTGAATTATTATTATGAAGACCGACAGGTCGCAGGTTCGAATCCGGGGAGAGGCGGATGAGCTCCCTCTATCAGCTCCAGCTCCTTATGCCAATGCGGAGACATGAGAGAAGCCTCCCAGAAGGATGATAAAACATCAAATCATCTGGGCTCCCCCTGGGCAACGTCCTTGCAGACGGCCAATTCTCTCACTATGTGCTCTCGCTATGTGCTGATTTTCTGAATGTTATGGAAAAAAATTGAATAGAAAGCTTTGACTGAAAGTAGTGGAAAACAGGCAGAAATAGCAAGTCTATGTGTATTAAGTTATGTAAATGATAATAATTTGTACTCAATGCCTACATAGAATACATATACATGTAAAAACAGCAATCAACAATTATCACAATTAAAACAGTCAGTATATAACGCACTCAATAAAAATAAAACACAATCAATGAAAACTAATCTCAAGCTCAGCGTTCGTCTTTCAGAGTTCCATAATTCCATTCCACTTTGTCAATTCCTGTCCATCGTCGAAAACCTTCTTTATCTGCCCGATTGTCCGAATGCCTGGTCCCAAATCCATGTTTTCAGTTTTTTCCTGAAGGAAAGGAGGGATGTCGCTGTTCTAATTTCCCCGGGGAGTGAATTCCACAGGTGAGGGGCCACCACTGAGAAGGCCCTGCTCCTCTTCCCCGCCAATCTCACTTGTGATAGAGGCGGAGTCGAGAGCAGGGCTTCCCCAGAAGATCTTAGACTTCGAGGTGGGATGTAGAGGGAGATCCGTTCGGACAGATACACTGGGCCGGAACCGTATAGGGTTTTGTAGGTCAAAACCAGCACTTTGAATTGTGCTCGGAACTGGATCGGCAGCCAGTGGAGCTGACACAACAGGGGGGTGGTATGCTCCCTGTATGACGCTCCGGTGAGAACTCTGGCTGCCTCTCCCTGGACTAGTTGGAGTTTCCGAACAGTCTTCAAAGGCAACCCCACATAGAGTGCGTTGCAGTAATCTAATCGGACATGTAACAAGAGCGTGGACCATCGTGGCCACATCCGACTTCCCAAGGTACGGGCACAGCTGGCGCACAAGTTTTAATTGTGCAAAAGCTCTCCCAACCACTGCCGAGACCTGGGGTTCCAGGCTCAGCGATGAGTCCAGGATCACTCCCAAGCTGCGAACCTGCGTCTTCAGGGGGAGTGTAACCCCATTCAACACAGGCTGTAACCCTATACCCTGTTTGACTTTTGGACTGACCAGGAGTACCTCTGTCTTGTCTGGATTCAGTTTCAATTTGTTAGTTCTCATCCAGTCCGACACAGCAGCCAAGCACCGATTCAAGGTCTGGACAGCCTCCTTGGTGACAGGTGAGAAGGAGTGACAGATTTGGACATCATCTGCGTAGAGATAACATCTCATTCCGAAACTCCGAATGATCTCCCCCAGCGGCTTCATGTAGATGTTGAATAACATCGGGGACAGAATTGAACCCTGTGGGACTCCACACAACAACGGTTGTGGGGCCGAACAGGTGTCACCCAATAACACCTTCTGGGTCCGTCCCTCAAGGAAGGATCGGAGCCACCACAGGGCAGTGCCCCCGAGCCCCATGTCCATGAGGCGCCCCAGAAGGATACCGTGATCGACGGTATCGAAGGCCAAAGAGAGGTCCAGCAGAAAAAACAGGTTTTTTTAAAAAAAGAAATAAAGCCTGACTGCTCATTGGAGGTGAAGTGACTGGACTGACCTTGAAGGAGCTGGGGGTGGTCCATGAGGTCACAAAGAGTCGGAGACGACTGAACGAATGAACAACAAGCTCATTGGAGGGAAGGAGATGAGAGGCCAAGATGAAGCACTTTGGCCACATCATGAGGAGACTTGGAGAAGATAATGATGCTGGGGAAAATGGAAGGGAAAAAGAAGAGGGGCTGACCAAGGGCAAGATGGATGGATGGCATCCTTGAAGTGACTGGATTGATCTTGAAGGAGCTGGGTGATGACGGCTGACAAGGAGCTCTGGCCTGGGCTGGTCCATGAGGTCATGAATCATAGAATCCTAGAATCCAAGAGTTGGAAGAGACCTCATGGGCCATCCAGTCCAACCCCATTCTGCCAAGAAGCAGGAATATTGCATTCAAAGCACCCCTGACAGATGGCCATCCAGACTGTTTAAAAGCTTCCAAAGAAGGAGCCTCCACCACACTCCGGGGCAGAGAGTTCCACTGCTGAACAGCTCTCACAGTCAGGAAGTTCTTCCTCATGTTCAGATGGAATCTCCTCTCTTGTAGTTTGAAGCCATTGTTCCTTGCCCTAGTCTCCAAAGAAGCAGAAAACAAGCTTGCTCCCTCCTCCTCCCTGTGGCTTCCTCTCACATATTTATCCATGGCTCTCATCATGTCTCCTCTCAACCTTCTCTTCTTCAGGCTAAAAATGGCCAGCTCCTTAAGCCGCTCCTCATAGGGCTTGTTCTCCAGACCCTTGATCATTTTAGTCGCCCTCCTCTGGACACATTCCAGGTTAGAGTCATATCTCCTCTTAGCCTTCTCTTCTTCAGGCTAAACATGCCCAGTTCCCTAAGCCGCTCCTCATAGGGCTTGTTCTCCAGACCCTTGATCCTCCTCCTCCCTGTGGCTTCCTCTCACATATTTATACATGGCTATCATATCTCCTCTCAGCCTTCTCTTCTTCAGGCTAAACATGCCCAGCTCCTTAAGCCGCTCCTCATAGGGCTTGTTCTCCAGACCCTTGATCTGCTCCCTCCTCCCTGTGGCTTCCTCTCACATATTTATACATGGCTATCATATCTCCTCTCAGCCTTCTCTTCTTCAGGCTAAACATGCCCAGCTCCTTAAGCCGCTCCTCATAGGGCTTGTTCTCCAGACCTTTTATCATTTGAGTCGCCCTCCTCTGGACACATTCCAGCTTGTCAATATCTCTCTTGAATTGTGGTGCCCAGAATTGGACACAATATTCCAGATGTGGTCTAACCACATCAATTTCTTTCCAGAACCTTGATCATTTGAGTTGCCCTAAAATGATCAAGGGTCTGGAAAACAAGCCCTATGAAGAGTCAGAAATGACTGAAAGAATGAACAACAACAACTTTAACAGTCTCACTAAACTACAAACCCCAGAATTCTGCAAGTTATTTTATTTTTATTTATCGTGTCATCTGCAACCAGACCATTGTATTACATTTCTAACAGAACAAAACAAACAAACAAATAAACACACACAAATTTTGCAAACTTGGTAGTTGATTAAATGTCCTTTGACCAGTCTCTGGCCCCTTGGAGTGCCTCTGGTGTTGCCGCAAGAAGGTCCTCCCTGGTGCATGTGGCAGGGCTCAGGTTGCATTGCAGCAGGTGGTCAGTGGTTTGCTCCTCTCCACACTCGCATGTCGTGGATTCCACTTTGTTGCCCCATTTCTGAAGGTTGGCTCTGCATCTCGTGGTGCCAGAGCGCAGTCTGTTCAGCGCCTTCCAAGTCGCCCAGTCCTCTGTGTGCCCAGGGGGGAGTCTCTCATTTGGTATCACCCACGGATTGAGGTTCTGGGTTTGAGCCTGCCACTTTTGGACTCTCGCTTGCTGAGGTGTTCCAGCGAGTGTCTCTGTAGATCTTAGAAAACTATTTCTTGATTTAAGTCATTGACGTGATGGCTGATACCCAAACAGGGGATGAGCTGGAGATGTCTCTGCCTTGGTCCTTTCACTATTGGCTGCTACTTCCCGGCGGATGTCAGGTGGTGCAATACCGGCTAAGCAGTGTAATTTCTCCAGTGGTGTAGGGCGCAGACACCCCGTGATAATGCGGCATGTCTCATTAAGAGCCACATCCACTGTTTTAGCGTGGTGAGATGTGTTCCACACTGGGCATGCATACTCAGCAGCAG